CAATCATATGATAGTTGGGTCATAGATCCCTTTTCATTACATTTATTGCCATTGCTTACATTTATTGTATATTTATACCACCATATTTATTGTCAACCATAGTGTATCGAATCCGTTATTTGATGCATCTGAACACAACTCGTTTCATAAATCTTCTATTTTATCCGGTCTAGAAGTTATTAAGTTCAACTAAGATTCACCCCTTTAATTCATCATTAATTGGTTTAGCTATTATTTGCTCAAACAATTTGGTGCCGTCTATGAGGAGAATTTAGTTCAAATTTTAGTTCCTTCTAGATAAAAAAACAGCCATCTTTTCTTCGTTTGCACAAACTGACAATGGCAGGAAAAGGAGGTGCAAGACTGAAAGCAATAGCAGACGTCACTACCAACATTTTGAACACCATCAACAAAGATGGCAGGGAAGATAACGGGAACGTTACACCAAACGCTACACCTAGGAGGAGTGCTTCACCTCCCCCTCATGTAAAAGTACATAACATAAGTCCCTGATATGTGTACTGATAGTCGACTCCACATTTTTTTACTTCAAAGGCGAGTCACGATTTTATTGCCACTGTGCGTAAAAGAGTTGCCGAAGGGGACTAGGCCTTATCTTCGTATACATTTTGGAGCGTGTACTAGTAGGACTCAAGATTTGTAAACATAACAGTTCCCTAGCTATGAACAAACTCGTTGACCCCAAAATAAAGTGGCAATAAAGCTGGGAGTTCAAGGTGGCTCAAACATGAGCATGCTTATTCTCCTCTTCTTGACTCGAAATGAACGTATTTGCCATCTATATGTGTTCAAAAGTCCTTTAATCTGACTAGGTAAAGAGCAAAAAATTGTACATATGTACTATTTTTCCTGATTGTGGCTTAGAGAGGCCATTCTATCTGCGACTTGGTTGGCCTCTCTTAAATAATGATTAGTGAAGATACCTTGTCTATTAATGAGTTTCTTAATATCTTGGACTGCTTCTTTGATTCTCCACGGAATGGTCCAGTTGTCAGAGATGCAATTTTGTAGTAACATTGAATCAGTTTCACCAATGATTAAGCTGAACCTTTTTTCTATACACCACTTGATCCCAAAAAAGTAAGCACATGCCTCAGCCCAATTGCTTGTACCTTGCCCCAGAGGAATAGAGTAGGCCATTATAAATTTGCCCAGATTGTCCCTCACTACACCTCCTCCTCCACATTCACCATTTTTGCATGAACCATCACTGTTAAGTTTCACAAACAAGATAGGTTTAATCCATCTCACCACAGAGGTATTTGTTTCCATTAGAGGTAGTTCCCAAACTCTGCATAGGTTCTCCCATATGTAGTTGAGATCCAATTTTCTGAATTGAGCTTTGACAATTTGTATAATATTGAAGTTGATCAGTGAGATAGATCTTGCAACTACTGGTCTCTCCATTTCATATTTAGAGCTGCATCTTGACCTCCATAACTCCCATATTACTATAGGTGGAAGTATCCTGCAAATATAGGCAGCCACGAGTTAGCAATATTATGATTCCAGTAATTTACAAGCAAGTTTCTAAGTGGTACTCCCCTGTATACAATGCCAATGTTGCCCGGATAGTAATCCCATATGAGTTGCGCATATTGTCCACTGATAAACAAATGTTGAACAGACTCTTCTGTAGGTTGCATATTTAAACCTGTACAACAACAACAACACTTAGAAACAATATTAGTGCCAAGTTTTTTGATTCTATCATCAGTGGGAATTCTGTCTTGGGCAGCTCTCCATGTAATTCAGGCCATTTTAAAAGGCATATTTTTGTGCGAGATCATGCTATCAAATTGGGAGATTTGTTTCCTCTGTCTTAGTTTCTTCCAGGCAGAGGCTATAGATAAATTTCCATCTTGAGTTTCATTCCAGATTGGGACGTCATTTTCATCAGGATGAAAATTGATTTGAAGTGTTGAAATCTGGTCTTTCACATTATCAGGAGGCTGGATGTTTAAAGTGGAACAGTCCCACAGACCCTAATTTAGAACTTAATTGACCTTGATAGTATCATGTACAAGAGCTCCTCCCATTCTATTGTGTAGAGGATCAATCTTGGACTAGTTGTCAAACCAAAAACTGATATTCCTTTTTTTCAACTGCCATTGGATGCATGGCTCAATTCACTCTTCAACTTACACATGGCCTTCCAACTATACGATTGCCCATTTCTCCATTAAAGGTTGACAGGATGCTTATTGCCAAAGTATTTGGCTTTCATAAATTGAAACCATAGGGAATTACTGGTTCTCAGGTTCCACCATTGTTTAGCCATGAAAGCCTGATTAATATCTTCAAGCCTTTTGAAATTAGGCCCCCCTCTTCATAAGTGAAACATGAGTTAGACCAGGAGACCCAATGGTATCTTCCCCTTCTTCTTGGCCAGACCAGAAAAATCTGGCTATAAACTTCTCAATCATATCCAGTGACCCTTTAGGTGGATGAACAACTGCCAGCGTATGAGTATTGATGGCTAGGCGAACAAGTCTAATGAGGAAAACCCTGCCCCCGCTAGATAAAAATGTTAGATGCCAACCTCTAAATCTATTGATGGTTTCTGCCAAAGCTTCAGGGAGAATCAACTTTTGGGAGCATCACCAAGCAAGTATGAGAGAAAGTCTAGGTAAAACAACCCTATGGAAGAAAGCTACCGCTGCTCTATGAACATCATTACCAACCACAGACCAAGCAGTTTGATAGAATCTTCCACTAAGGCCATCCGAACCTAGTGCACTATCAGGATTAATAGAGAAGACACTGTCTTTGACTTCTTGAGTAGATGGAGTGGACATCAGGAAGTTGTTGTCATCATCATTGATGACCTTTTTAATAATATTCAAGGCTTGAAGGTCTTCAGTGGTGTTATCAACGCTAAAAAGATCCTAAAAAAATTTTACTCCAGCATCAACTATCTCAGCAATACCCTCCACCCAATTACCATTACAATCTTTGATCTTCACGATGGATAACTTTTTCCTTCTATCTTGAATGGTACCATGAAAAAGGCAGTGTTTTCATCATCTTCAGATAACCACTTAACTTTGGCTTTTTTTCTAAGCACACTATCTTATAATTTTAGGAACCTGGTGAATTCTGCCTTAGCTTTGGATCATTTGAGTCTGTTGCCTTGGTTATTGTCATCAAGGTAGACATCTTCTGGCCTTCTAATTTCCATTTTCAGTTTTTTTTGGTTCCTCATAAATATCCCCAAATTCAGTTCTAGTCTAAGAGCTTAATGCATTGCATACTCTCTTGATTTTTTTATGCAAATTGTATAGATGATTGCCATTGTCTTCTCCAAGCCATGCTTGTTGAATCACATTGAGGTACTCCTCATGCTCCACCCAGAAATTCAGAAACTTGAAATACCTAACATACTCAGAAAGACAAGAACCACAAGGATTCAATAGTGGATAATGATTAGAACAGGATCTAGACATGTGCGTGACTGAGGTCCCACCAAATAGATCAAACCATTCAGCATTGTAAACCAATCTGTTCAATCTTTTCCATATAGTATTTGGGGGGTCTTTGTTGTTACTCCATGTGAAACTAGATCCTACATAACCCCCGTCACACCTTCTTTTTCACACCCCCGGAAGGGAGCATAAGGGAATTTTTTCAAATTTAAGTGACAATCGAAACAGGATTATTTAATTAAAAATCAGATTCGCTACTTGGGATAATTTATGGTGTCCCAAGTCACCGGTTCAAATCCGAATCGAGGAAAGATTGACTCTGTTTTACATTCCGCGAACACAAAAATTCGGGTAAGGAATTCTGTTAATTTGGGAGAAGGTGTTAGGCATTCCCGAGTTCCGTGGTTCCTTTGATCATACTTGGCTTAATCAAATTGTCAAATTACTTAGTTTTAGAACCTATATGCATTTGCCCTTTTTAATTAAGAAAATATCTTTAAAAAGGTCACGCGCACGTATACCCATTTGTTCGGTGTGTCAAAAATCATGTCACGCGGACGTGTCCACGATTTATAACACTTTATTATTATTAAGAAAGTTTGGGCCAAAGTTGCGCGAACGCATACTCCGATTTTATTTTTAGAAATCGTGATCATGTCATGCGAACGTGTCCACAACCACAATGATATATTAAATAGGCCTAGAGCAACTACGAGCATTTGTCATTTTTATATCTAAGTCATAAGATTAATACGAGGGCCATGAATGATTAAAATGTGGATAGCACACCTCGGACTATATAAAGAACTATATTTAATTAAAGCGGACTATGTTAATAAAAAATTTATTATTAAGAAAGTTTGATCGAAGTTGCGCGAACGCATACTCCGAATTGGTTTTTAGAATCATGATTATGTCACGCGAACGTGTACACAATCACGATAAAACATAAGAATTATTAAGGGAATTTTTCATAAAGCACCATCTTTTAAGTCTAATTAGCCATTTATAGATACCCTTTGCTATATTACGTGTTATAGATACCTTTTATGTTTTTATACAATGTATTTTATGTATTTAAGCTATTGTATTCATTAATACAACCAAAATAATAGGCGTAAAAACTGGAATTCCAGCTAAGTTTGACATGTATTTAGCTGTATTCAAGCGGCATTAACGTTAAATACAGAAGGTTAAACTGGTTAAAAACGGAAGGAAATCAAATCACATGATATTCTCCTAATTTAACTCCACGAACTAAGGAAATCAAATCACATGATATTCTCCTAATTTAACTCAACGAACTAAAACGATCCCTCATTAATCTGTATTTGAAAGATACATAATAAAGATTATAGCTGAATAAAGAGAAATACATATGAATAATACAGTTGAGTAGAACTGTATACAGTTGAATACAACAAAATACAACTTAATTCATCTGAATAAAACACTTGAATACAACAAAATATAATTGAATACAGCTGAATAAAACTCTTGAATGTAACAAAATACAACTAACTTCTGCTAAATAAAATAGTTAAATACAACTGATTAAAACTGAATACAAGAGAATACGCATAACTTTTTAATACATCTAAAATATATAAATTAATGCTACTGAATACATGTGAATACAACTGAAATATACATTCGAATACAACAGAATACAAATAGGCGATTTGGGCGATCTAGAGAGAGAAGCAGCCTGATGGCTTCGCCGGCCGGCGGCCAGCCATTAATTCCGGCAGGTCAGCCCCTTAACACATCTGTCCAACCTCCTACAACAACTACAAACAATCCCCAACTCTCAAATCCCACAAACGAAGCCATGAATTACGCAAAAGCTGTGAACCCTACTTCAACGACCACTGCCAAGCAGAATCGAGCCGCTACAGTTGAACCAATTGCTCTTCGTCTATCAAAATCAACGAATTAAACTTACCCTAGGCGATTGTAATGGAGTGATAATGGAGGAGAACTAGAGAATTTGGGTGGGAGGAGAGGTATGAATCGTGGGTTGAGGGAGAAAGANATAGGCGATTGTAATAGAGTGATAATGGAGGAGAACTAGAGAATTTGGGTGGGAGAAGAGGTATGAATCGTGGGTTGAGGGAGAAAGAGTAAAGTGTATGCAAAAAGAGAGAGAACGTGGTTAGTCAATTTTAATGTGATTATGCGAGAGAAAAGACTAAAAAGGAGAAAGAAAAATATTATTTAGCATATATGGTGCCTTAAATATAGGATATAACTATAATTAGATATTTGGCTATAAAGTATAAAAGGTATTTATAGGATGTAATATTTTAAAATGGTATTTATTTAAAATAAATAGGGTACTAAGGTTTTCTATAGGGTGTAAAAATTCCAACTATTAATTACTATTAGGCTTTGGCTTTTCCCTACTCCCATGACCCAGATCCATTTCGTGAATCTTCGTTCAAACCATCCACACAAAACGGACATCCAAACAGAAACATCTAAAGCACCCTAAAAGAAAGAGATAATAACAGTGTAGCATAATTGAGAAGTGGATCAAAATATGATGTTGGCTCATTGGAACGTAGGCTACTATGAAAACGAAATCCAAATCTCACTGATTTTAACAAGCATGAGATGCCATGATACCCATTACTACACAAAATTTCTAACATACTAAATGACGTTTGAAGATAAATTGAAGAACGACAATTCACAACGGAAGACTTTCAGCACTTTATCTTCCTTTGTTCTTTTTCCTTTTCTTTTGACAGAGAATCATTTTGCTAAACCCAAATATACACTTATTTTAGAAGAATCATCTTGAAAATAACCAATCAACCAAATTAGTACTAATGCATCAACTCAAAACTTTAAAGAAAGGAAAAAAATCATCACAGCTAACTTAATGGATAAATACAATACTCTTAATGATTTAACCACCAATGACATTTACAATCCACTTGATAAATTCGTTGATTGAAATTTTTTTTTTTAAAAATAACATGAAAAGAGATTCATAATAAAATGACTAATTCAAACTTTCCCATATTATTTTTTGAATGCCAAACGAGGGACAAAGAGTAATAGAACAACATAACACTGGCGACGGAAAAAAATTGAAAGAATGATTAGATCAAACTAAAATTAAACCAGCAGCTTCATTAGAGTTATAACGAAGATGCGAAAACTAAGAAGAATGAGCCAACATCATATTTAAAACCACCCATAAATTGAACTATAACAAAGAGAAGGAGAAGAGTATTGACCTTGAATAATCTTACAATTGACGAAAAATTTCAGCAAATTACAACGGACAGAATACCACAGCCACGAGCAAAATCCAAAAATCGCAACCGAATCGAACGGAATCACGGACTACGCCTCAAACGAACCTCAATTAGCAAGCAACAAACAAAACCCAAATGAACTCCACTCAGTCTCAAAAACCTCAGAAACTTCGCATCTTTAAAATTAAAACCAGAAAGAAGAGATGAAATTATTTTCTTATATCTTTTCTGAAATGTGAATCCTACTAAAAAAAACATAAACCCTCTTTTTTTGTATGTGTTTTTCTGGAATTTTTTGAAGAATACGGAGATGAGGGAAAGAGATTGAAAAGCCTCAAAGAAAATCCCTCAAAACCCTCGTTCTCTTCTTCTGCCCGTTTTTCTCAATGGCTCAGTGCGTGTCTTGCGGCGGTGTGTGTTTCGGACAGTGTGGTCGAAGGGGACAAGGGGGTGTTGGGCGTCGCTATTCTTCAAATGTTGAAGAAGATGAAGAAGCTAAGGATTAGGGTGATTGTTGAAGAAGCAGACGTTCAAGTGGGGTGGGTCTCTTTGTGATGGAAAACGACCCTTTCTCTTCGGTCTAAGTGATTTTTTAGGTTAAGAGGTATCAACCTAGGAATTATGGGTTTGAGAATTATGAGCTAGTCCAAAAATTAGGCTTAAAAATAGGTTGTTTGAGGCCAAAATATTATTCTTTCTCTGTGAACAAGACCAAAATACTACCTTATTTACTAATTAACCCTACTTAAATAAAATAACTATTAAAAAAAGACTAACCATTAAAACAAACCTATTTTTTGGTATTTTCAAATATCATATTAAAATAAAAAAATAAGGTACTATTTTTTGTATTTTTTTAGTTTTACGAAAGGTATATAAACTATAACAACTAAAAAGAAGAAATAATTTTGTAATTTTCATTTTGTGATAAAATAAAGTAAAAAGGTCAAAACTAGTTGAAATAACTATATTAGACCTAAATTAAATATTTAAATACAAAAATGTTAAAATATTGGGAGGGTCAAAAATCACATGTCTACAGCTGCCCCTCTTTGACTGAAAACACGAAGTATTTTCAGACAAAGAACGACTAGACATGTTTTTTTGACTCTACCCTTATTTAAAGAGACCAAAAGCTACAAGAAAGGAGAATGTGACCAAACCCTGGTATTTGAGTTGCATACATATCCTTGGATATAAAGGAATCAGGCCACGTGTAGTTCAGAAGTAAAAACAGTGATAGAGTATACTGCGGTAGAGAGTCGGTCGAGGTGCCGTTCCGTAGGTGTTCTGGTCCGCGACCGTGTTATTACATCAAAATCAAAAAATGAAAAATACTAACTAAGCCTGTCAACTATGAGTTACAAGATTCCTATCTATAAGTCTTCTGAAGTTTGATCTTGAGTCTTGAATGGTTCTTCATGCAGACTTTGGATTTGAACCTTAACGCTTGCTAGTTACAGGTGCTAGTTCATTCTTCTTTAGCTTTTTGGATCAAAACTGGACATACCATGCTTGTGACTTCAGTCATGTCTTGAGCAGCTCACAACTTTCATCAACTTCTGCATTTGGATTCACTTCTTGCCTTTTTTTTTATTCTGGATTGTGACTAACTTTCATTGATCATCTCGGACTATTGATCGCATTCTTGTCGCGAACTTCTTTTGTTGCTGACTTGAATTGCATTCTGAAGTAAATTCCCTTATTTTCCAGGCGGGTTCCTGATTGCCAAAACTTGAACTATCTTCCTTCGAAACTTGAACCGTTTTCCCTTGTTCTCCAGGTGGGCGCCTGATTGCTGAACTTGAATTGTCCTCCTTCGAAACTGCTTTCCCTTGAAACTTGAACTGTCTTCCCTTGTTCTTCAGGTGAGCGCCTGATTGCTGAACTTGAACTGTCTTCCTTCGAAACTACTTTTTCTTGAAACTTGAACTGTCTTCCCTTGTTCTCCAGGTGGGCGCCTGATACTACAGCAAAACAGACAACAAAAGAAGCTTTTCTACCCCAGTTTGCACTAGGAAGATTTGTGAGTTGTTAGAAAAATTATAAATCACCTACGCTGCTGATGAAAGATGCAATGATGAGAGTTAAATTAATGACTCGACTAGGATGTGCATCTCTTAAAAGTGATTGAGCTTGCGGAAAACTATAAACTAAGCTTGACTAAAGTAAAGACTGATTCTCCAGGTGGGGCCCCTGATTTCAAGAAAACTAAACATTGATAACTAAAGAAAACTAAAAATTGACCTTTTTTTCAAATCCAGACTTCCTTTTTTTTTTTCAAATTATCCTAGGAGAAAATCCGTCAGACTAGGTTTTCTATCTTAGGAGAAAGATTCATCAGACTAAGACGTTTATCCTAGGAGAAAATTCATCAGACTAGGTCCTTTTTTCTCTCTTTTTTTTTGTTTTTATTTTTTGGTATCTTAGGAGAAAGATTCATCCGACTAAGACGTTTATCCTAGGAGAAAATTCATCAGACTAGGTCTTCTATCTTAGGAGAAAAATTCATCAGACTAAGATTTTGATCCTAGAAAAAAGTTCATCGGACTAGGTCACTTTTTTTGTTGGTATCTTAGGAGAAAGACTCATCAGACTAAGATTTCTATCCTAGGAGAAAGTTCATCAGACTAGGTCTTCTATCTTAGGAGAAAAATTCATCAGACTAAGATTTTGATCCTAGGCGAAAGTTCATCATACTAGGGTTTTTTATCTTACGAGAAATATTCATCAGACTAAGACGTTTACCCTAGGAAAAAGTTCATCAGACTAGGTCTTCTATCTTAGGAGAAAGATTCATCAGACTAGATTTCGATCCTAGGAGAAAATTCATCAGACTAGGTCTTCTATCTTAGGAGAAAGATTCATCAGACTAGATTTCGATCCTAGGAGAAAATTCATCAGACTAGGTCCTCCTTTTTGTTATCTTAGGAGAAAGATTCATCAGACTAAGATTTATATTGGGAGGAAAATCCATCAGACTAAGACTTTTTATCCTAGGAGGAAAAATGTGAAGATCAATGGCAAGATTTTATGCACAATAGCAAGACAAATAAATGCAAAGATTTGAGAAACTTTCATTTGTAGTCTCTTCTTTTCTTTTCTTTTCCTTATCTTTTTTTTGTTTTGTTTTTGTTTTTTTTCTTTCTTTCTTTTGTTTTTTTATTTCTTTTTTTTTGAATCATTTTCCTTGCACTGCTTTATTCCTGTTTCACACAAAGGAAAATTTGTCAGTTTTGAAAATGGTGGTCGGTTTGTGGCCTTGAGTCTTGGGCAGCTTGACTTCTGCTCAATTAGGTCGAGTCAGTTCAAAGAGACTTTTGCTCTGCATTAACCCTAATTGTTTCACACCCAGTACCATTTGTATTTATGGCTCAATCAGCCTTATCCTAACTGGAGATCTTTGCTTAGGTGACTTTTTATGTTATCTTGAATGACTTCCTATTTTTTGAGCAATTTGTTTGTCAGAGAGAATCACCAGTTATCTTTGCTTGCGCCAAGTAGGCTGACAAGAGTCGTTTTTTGGAGGGAAAACCATTTTCCTGAACCCTCGAGTCATGTTGACTGTAACAATTGAGTGTGCTGGCCAAATTTACTTTGTGCAAATGAAAAGCTGGTAGCAGATTTTGAAATTTTTTCTTGCTTGTTTTGAGAAGGACTGGCTCAGAGTGAAGGGCACAATGATGCAAAGAAATAATATTAACTAGAAATGCCCCTATCAAGAAGGACAGAAGAAGGAGTTTTTTCCAATAACTAGCCTTAATGATCATGACATGCATTTTGAACTTAACAGCCGATCTATCAAACTGACCAAATCTTCCCTTTTACCATTCTTATGACCTTTGAAGTCAGGCAAGTTCGCGTCAATCCTTCGCATTAGCTTCATGACTCACTTTCGACTAGTGGTGCCCGTGGGGTTTTCACCAACAAGTCTCTCTCATTTATTTATCTCCACTTACCGTCGCCTTATAGTGCCCGTGAGTGTTTTCACTAGTAAGACTCTCTCATTTTTCTTCTCTATTTTTCTTTTTCTTTTGTTTTCTTGTGCGAGCATCCTGACAATGTTCTATGTCATGTGACAACCATTGCTCATTACATGCGCCTTTTGGCATTCTTGAAGGCTGATCATGAGGTTTTTATTTGGAAGGGTTTTGGATAGGTTTGGAAAGAAAGGATGGCAAGAAGGCTCAAAGTAAACTCAATATAATGAGTTGTACACTTACAACTATTGGAATCGACTCTTTCAAAGAGAAAAACAAACTCATGCCCCAATTTTAGAAACAAGATTTTTTTTCTTTTTTTTGAATTGTTATTTGGTTTAGACCTAACCGTGAGGCTGCCTACGTATCCTTTTTTTAAAAGGAATCAGGTCAAACGTAGTTCAAACATCTGACCTAACTATATTTTTTCATCTTTATTTATGTATCTCTTTTCTTTTTCTTTTTTATTTCAAAACAAGTTGCCCCATCCTTTATTTGCTAGGGGCATGGACCTCTTTTTTTCATCATTTTTTCTTTTTCATTTGTTGTTGGACTTTTAACTCTAAACTTGATTCCAAAATAGAGTGGTCAAAGAAAATAACCCAGGCTCAAAGGGGTGACAAAGTGTATAAAGTGTTCGGGTAGCAGAAACAGGGCCTCCCAGCCATGAGAACGCCAAATTTTTTATCTTTTCGCAATCAAAGCATTGACGAACATGTCTGTCTTCTTGGTGTGTCGTGGTCACAAGACATTTTCCATCCCCTAATGTCAAACTTTCCAACAAACTTCAATTGATTCTTCCTCAACCCGATCTTCACATTGATTTTGAAGGTAAAGATTCTTAACCTCCACGGGTATGCCTATTCTAGTTCCACTTGAATTTTACTCGGGCTTAATTCCAAGGTATTGCAACTCTTTTTCATCCTCAAAAGTATATTTTTCTCAGTTGTCCAATTCAAGCTTAAATCAATTTTCTAAGACCTGGCCAAAAATACCGCATGCATGTCATGTCATTAAAACTAGCAGGAAAGAACTAAGCATGGAATGACACAAAAGGACAAACTATATTTCATTGAGTAAACAACAAGACAAACAATCTAAAATCTGAGTTACAAGCCTAAAATAACCCGGCTAATGAAAATAGCAACAGAACAGATAGACAAGACTCACACAAACAGAATGGAGGGACAGAAGGGTTTGACTCAATAAAATAAATAAAATCTGGATCACAACACTGAAATAACCCAGATAATAGAAAAAACATCAAAACAAGTTGCCAAGATTCCTTCCTAATGAGGAGAAAATGACTTTTCTATTGCTAGGCCTGACATTTGGCCATATATTTGCTCATCAAAATCAGCAGAGCCTTCTCCAATTTCAAAATCATTAACTTTAGTTAGCAAGTTCCCGAGAGGATTCTCATACTCCCTGTCACCATGCATCATCCCCACAAAATCATCATGTGCAAGTAAAGGGTTCTGCGCAATATTCTGGGTGTCACTGTCTTGGATCACAATAAGGTTTTCCTGGATTATCCTTTCTATTTCTCTTATCAAATCCCGACAGCTTTCAATATTGGTCCCTTGGGCA